TAACATAATTTTATTCTAGAATCATGAAAACAGTAAAGCGAGGACCTGACTTAATGATACTGAGGAGATTTTTTTTTTCCAATAGTAGAAGTGTTCACTTCAGTTTCTTAGCCAATTTCAATACGGATAATTTGTCTCTTGGCTTGAATGTTGCTTTTGTTTTCCCTTAATTAAAGACCTTTGCTTTTGCAAAAGCTGTAGCATAGTAGCATCAAAATACATAATGTGCTTATTTTCTAAATTCTTATATAACTGTGACATTGACTTATAAAGATGAGTTTTCAGTTTCTATTTTAAAGTTACTTTTTAAATGTTTACTATTTTTTTCTGTATATACAAGACATACATCTATCACTTTAAAGAAAAAATAAAATGTATTATAAAAGACACACAATTTGATAGTTATAAAAAGACTTGTGTTCTTCCCAATATTTTATTTAAAACATGTAATTCTCATGAACATGTTCTACTTTTTCTTCAGACTTACAGATTTTATGTACTGAAAACATTTTAAGAGAACTTTTTAGTTATTACTAGAGAATGAACTTAATTTCTTTGTCAAAAACATTTATGTCTTGAAAACAAAGTTTGACTTAAAATTTCAAATTTGTATGGAAACAGTGCAGTGAATTATTTATTAGAACAACATGGCCAAAAATAAACATTACTATTTCAGAGGACCACACTGGATGAGATTTTCAGAAGCATAATGATTAGAGATGCACTTTAAAATACTTATTTCTAAAAGGGATGTTAGGTCAGTAGCATTTTTACAAACATTAAAAAATTGAATAATGATATTATTTCTATTTGCAGATGACATGATCTTTATATGTAGAAAACCACAACAATTCCACACACACACAAAATTTGTTAGAGCTAACAAATGAATTCAGCAAAGTTCCAGGATTAAAAATCAACAGATAAAAATCAATAACATTTTTTATATACAAATAAGTACCTAGCTGAAAAAGAATTTAAAAACCACTCCCATTTACAATAGCATAAAAAATACTTAGGGATAAATTTAACCACGGAGGTGAAAGATTTGTACACTGAAAATTGTAAAACATTGGTGAAAAAAATTGAAGACACAAATATATAGAAAAATATTCCATTACTCGATCAGAAGTATTGTTAAAATATTTATACTACCCAAAGAAATACAGAAATTTAATGCAATAACTATCAACATCCCAGTGGCATCTTCACGAAATAGAAAAATATAATCGTAAAATTTGTATGAAACCACAAAAAAACCCCAAATAGCCAAAGCAGTACTGAGGGGAAAATGGTAGAAGGCATTACACTTTCTGATTTAAAACTATATTACAAATCTATAGTAATCAAAATAGTATGCTACTGGCCTAACAACAGAAACCTACACCAATAGAACAGAATAGAGAGCCCAGAAGTAAATTCAAACATACATGCTCAAGTAATTTTACACAGGAGTGCTAGGAGGAGACAGGTGGAAAGAGTAATCTCTTCGAAAAAAGTGCTGAGACAGTTGGATTTCTACATGCAAAAGAATGAAATCGTATGTTTATCTTACACCACACACAAAAATCAACTCAAAATAGGTAAAGACCAAAATGTAACACCTGAAACCATGAAACTTCTAGAAGAGAACATAGGGGGAAAGCTCTTGGACCTTGACCTTAGCAATGATTTTTTGGATAACACACCAAAATCCCAGGCCAAAAGAGATAAAATAAGTACATGGGACCACATCAAACTAAAAAGCTTCTGCACAGGAACGGAAACAATCAACAAAATGAAAAGGCAACTGATAGACTGGGAAAAAATATGTGCAAAGCATATATCTGATAAGGAATTAATATCCAAACTTTATAAATAACTCTTATAACACAATAGGGAGAAAACAACCTGATTAAAAAGTGGGCAAAGGACATGAACAGACATTTCTCCAAAGAAGACATGAAAGTGGCCGACATATATGTATGGAAAAGTGTTTAACATCACTAAGCATCAGGAAATGGAAATTAAAACCACTGTAAGATATCACTTCACTCCTCTTATCAAAAAGACAAGATATAACAAATGTTGGCAAGAGTGTGGAGAAAAGGGAACCCTAGAACATTGCTGTTAGAAATGTAGATGGGTATAGCCGTTATGGAAAATAGTATAACGGTTCTTAAGAAAATTGAAAATAGAACTATATGATCCAAATAAGATAAAATCACCACCTCATAAAGATATCTGCACCCTCGTGTCCATTGCATTATTCACAATAGCCAAGATATGGAAATACCATAAGCATCCGTCCATGAATGAATGGATGAAGAAAACGTGGTATGTCTATAGGCACACACATGTATATACATACAATGGGATATCATTCACCCTTTAAAAAGGAAGGAGATCCTGCCATTTGCCATAACACAGATGAACCTAAAGGACATTATGCTAAGTAAGATGAACCAGACACAGAAAAATATTACATGATCTCACTTACATGTAGAATCTTAATTTTTTTTAAAAAGGTCAAATATTCAGAGAGAGAGAATAAAACAGTGGTTACCGTGGGCAGAGTCAGGGGAAGGGGCAGGAAATGGGGAGATGTAGGACAAAGGATACGAAGTAGCAGATGTATAGGATGAGTAAGTCTAGGGAATCTAATGTACACGAGGACTACAGTTAACAAAATTGTATTGTATTACAGATTCTTTTTAATAAGGAGATTTCAGCTGCTCTTGTCACAAAAATACTATGTGAGATGCTGGGTATGTTAATCGGTCTCGCTATAGTAACCATTGGACTATCTGTACACATCACATACCATCATGTTGTAAGCCTCAAGGATACACAATACAAGTTATTTTTAAGATAAGGAAAGTAAAATTCTCCTTTTAGCTCAGAAAAATAAAATTAACCCTGCAGGCACAAATATGACATATGCATGACTATATATACTAAAATTATTAATATTTCACTTAAATTTTCATAATGGTTCATAAGAGATATTTATGCCTGTGATCAGAGAACATGGGCACTATTATTAAATTATGCATTAAGTAATTACAGACATATTTAAGCACATCAAATTAAGATTTTCTGGGTTTTTTTTTGTTGTTGTTGTTTTGTTTGGTTTTTTTTTCCCACCATGCTGGTTCAGCTCTGGAGCTGTGGAATCAAGCTATTTTTGATTGCAGCCTGATATTTCCACTTTCAACCTGTCTGATTTTGGCAAATTATTTGTGTCTAATGAAAGTGAAAGTAATTATAGTACCTATTAATACTTTGTAGACTTGTGGGTAATAAATGTCAACTTTACCATTATTATTATAGTTATTGTAATTTTAGCAGTAAAAGACATAACTTTTCTGTATGAGAATTTTACAGAGTCATTTATTCATTACTTATAGGTATTGCAAGACTAGATATCTTTATGGATGTTAGGTGTTATAATTATGATACTTTTCTAATTACAAGAATAATATATATTCACTTTTTCTACAACATACTTTTCCACCCACTGAACAATATTTTCTAGACAATAATTTATGAATCTACCCACATCTTTTAAACAAAGATATACAACTTTATAATACAGATATAATGACAATTTTAAAAGATCAATTTATCTACTTATATGCATCTTGGGGTTACATTCTTTGGTTGTCGTTGCCAGAGCACTGCTATACCCGTTGTGTTATTGTTTTTATATGTTTAGATATTTGTAGAAGTATTTCTTTTGACCAGATGTGTATGTTGTTTTGCTGGATCTTAGGATACACACATTTAAGCTACAAATTGATAGGCTTAGCAAAGTTTCCTGCCAAACATTTTGGATTGTTTTTCCTCACTACTCATTTATGCAAACCGTTACTAATGCTTGGTGTTATAAATCTTTTACTGTTTTGCCAATTTTGTAAGTGAAAGTTGTTTTTATTATGTTGATTTGCAGTTTAATTATAGGGGACATAAGAGGCTTTTTATATATATTGGTTATTTACATTTCGTTTGAATTGTCTATTCACTTCCTTTTTCAATTTTATCCTTTATTGATTTTAGAAGCTCTATATTTGGATATGTTTTATCTTCTCTGTGTGGCAAACATTTTCTCACAGACCATTTCTTCCTTTGCTTATGGTATATTTTCTTATGTAGAACTTTATATCTTCATTTAGTCGGATACATTAGGAATATCTTTGGCAGTTTATGAATTCATATTATTTTTAAATGTTGTAATTTCAAGATTATAAAATAGTCCCTCATATTTTCTTTTAATCGTACAACTTTATACTTCTGTTTTGTCTCTCTTTGGAGTTTATTTTATGTATTTATATGTATTTTCCTGGCCTCTGTGTTTTGTGCTCTTCGTTTCTGCTGTGAGGACAGAGTAATGACTCTGCTCTGATAGGCAGTGTGGCAGAATATGACAGATGTGCCACAGAATCCCAGAACTGAAATTTCTGTTCTTACCAACAACAAGAAGAGAGACAGAGTGTGAACTAGCACACAAATGGAGTTTTTTGTGTGTCTATCTCTAACAACATTCGTTGAATAACTACCATTAGCAAAAATATTCATTGAATAAACATCAGGTTCAAGTGTCACATTAAAATATTATTAAAAATAACATTTTATGGTATATTCATGTTGCTTTTGGAGTGAAATTCCTAAAGAACATACGTGTAAAATGTTGAGCTCTTCATAAGGAGTGATATGAAGTTTTTTCCCCCCAGATCTCTGAAACTTTTTGCCTTTTAAAAGTAGTGTTCATCTTTTTAATTTCTTCCAATATGCTTGACCCCTCCCCGAGTTCTAGCATTAAAAAATGTGCCGCAAATGCAAAAACGGATGACTGCTAGGGCACATTTTAGTAGAATTTGAAATAGGTGATGTGAATTTTACTGTACTGAAATCCTAAAGAATCATCCCATTCATTTCTTAGTGAAAAAGTTCAAATTAATGCTTTGTGCCTTCCGATTCAGACCTTTTCTTACCTGATCTTGTCTTGGTTTGTGTTCCAGTCTTCAGGAACCAGTATTACTGTGGACATCGCCGTCATGGGCGAGGCCCACGGCCTCATTACCGACCTCCTGGCAGACCCTTCTCTTCCACCAAACGTGTGCACATCCTTGAGAGCCGTGAGCAACTTGCTCAGCACACAGCTCACCTTCCAGGCCATTCACAAGCCCAGAGTGAATCCCGTCACTTCGCTCAGTGAAAACTATACCTGTTCGGACTCTGAAGAGAGCTCTGAAAAAGACAAGCTTGCTATTCCAAAGGTAGGTAGTAATGACCTACTCCTTAAAGGGTTAAACTATTTTTTTTTTTAATTGTCTTCTAGGCCTCCTTCCTGTCACCTCAACTCCATCTGCAGATTAATATCAGTGACTCAGGCAAAATGTGTTGATCATGGTGACAAAAGTAATAAATATTTAAACATAAAGACTTCTGTCCTTATACTTGATAGTTTTCTATACATAGAAAATGTATCTTTTTATGTTACCTCTTTTATTTAATCTTTCATGTTACATGCAAGAAGTTTTTTCTTCTATATGCCAGATGCTTTTCTAAGGTGATAAGGATATTGCAACAACAACAACAAAACAAAAAAAGACAGAAATCCTTGCTCCTTTCTAGTGCAGATTCTGTTTAAAATTCGTTGACTCCTAAAACTGAAGGTTCTTTACTCTTCGATTTTCTTGAATGATATACTTCAAAATGCCCTCATGACTTTCCAATACACAATCAGTTTTGAACCCAGAACAGTTTTAGTCAATTATAGATTATTTAAAGTGAAATATGTCCTTAGTGATTTCTATAAGCATATATTTTATATGTAAAAGGAAGAAATTACACAAATTTATTCTTTTTACATATATGGTATGAGTTTTATGAAAGTCAATTATAAGAGGATCCTCACCCAGTTTAGATCTCAATATTAATTAAAAATAAGGCATATTAAAGACAAGAAAATCAGAGTGTCAGTGGTCTCTGGTATATTCAGCACAGTTACTTATTTAGTAGACAGTCAGCTATCCCTTGGAGCTGGTGGTCAGTCAGTGACACCTGTGCTTCTGCTGTTGTGCGTCTCTTCTCTCAGGAATGTGATCTTCATAACTTTGTCAATAACATATTTACATAGTTTCCTTCCAATATGCAATTCCCTAAGAAAGATATACCTAAGTATAATATGACAGTAAGGAAATGGAGAGAAAGATTAACTGGTTCCTTCAGGTCTCAAAATAGACCTGAGGTCAAAGACAGATTTAAGGCAAGAAACCTGGTATTTAAGAGTGTTTGACTTTTTCTCTTCCAACTGAATTACCTTCTAAGATGCACATTCAGATGTTTAAGAGACACTGGAAACTATTTAATGTCAGAGCTATTCTTAAATCCCAAGTTGACATATAATTCATTTCTCAAAATTTTTTACCTTCTTCGGAAGAGCAGAATGTCTTTGTGAGCTATGCCTGTGTGGTAGGTTTATTAGGAGTGATTAGCCACAAACAAAAGTGGGTTGTGGTTCTGTCTATTATGACTGTTGCTGAAGTTATAGAAAAAAGAGCTTCAGTTTAACTTTTTTTTTTTTTTTTTTTAATTTTTAGATGGAGTCTCACTCTGTTGCTCAGACTAGAGTGCAGTGCCCCGATTTTGGCTCACTGCAAGTTGGCCAGGCTGGTCTCAAACTCCTGACCTCAAGTGATCCACCCGCCTCGGCCTCCCAAAGTAGCTGAGGTTTACATGGGATTACAGGCATGAGCCACCGCACCCCCTAGTTTAACTTTTAAGGTCAAGACTCACTTTAGAGGGTTGGTGCTCATCCTAGTGATCCCAGACTCTTGTCTCAGTGCAGATGACGCTACATGTCCTGTTTAGGATATGGTGGGAGAAGAAATAAGAAGGGGAACAGCAGGTTGGCCAGCAGGGTCTCCTATTAAGAGGAGTTGACACTGATGACATTACCCGTATCTCTGATGTCTAAGTTACATTAACCATAAGAGAAGTGGTACATTTTGTGAAAGACTTACATTCTTACACTGAGCTCCTTTTGTTTGTAAATGAAGATAATAAAGTCAATAATACTTGGCGGTATAGACTGTGGTGCAAGGTGATATAAATTAATTCATGCTCCCAAGCAAGTGACCTTTGAGGAAAAACTTCTCATAATAACTAATATGTGTGTATAGGTTTGTAAATCCTGTTGAATAAATATAACTATAAAATTATCCCAGAGGTAATTGACTCACTCCTATAATCACATATTTGTATAAGCATTGAAATAAAGACCCTAAAAGGTTATTTATTTATTTATTTATTTATTATTTTTGTTTTAGACAGAGTTTTGCTCTTGTCACCCAGGCTGGAGTGCAGTGGTATGATCTCGACTCACTGCAACCTCCGCCTCCCAGGCTCAAGCGATTCTCCTGCCTCAGCCTCCTGAGCAACTGAGATTACAGGCACCCACTACCACACCAAGCTAATTTTTGTATTTTTGGTAGATGGGGTTTCGCCATGTTGTTCAAGCTGGTCTCAAACTCCTGACCTCAGATGATCCACCCACCTTGGCCTCCCAAAGAGTTGGGATTACAGGCGTGAGCCACTGCGCCTGGCTGCTGATTTTTATAATATGCGTTCATTTTGGCCAGATAATCTTTTATTAAATTTCTGAGCACTCAAATTTTAGATAGGTGATATTCAACCAATATAATTTAGTTAATTCACTTCTAATGAAAAGCTCATTTCCTTCTATTATATTACATAAAATTTAAGAGATATAAAATATGCTTGGTAATGAAGTCAAGTCTCTTTCCTAGCGCCTGAGAAGGAGTTTGCCCCCTGGCTTGTTGAGACGAGTTTCTTCCACTTGGACCACCACCACCTCGGCCACAGGTCTACCTACCTTGGAGCCTGCACCAGTACGGAGAGACCGCAGCACCAGCATCAAACTGCAGGAAGCACCTTCATCCAGGTGGCATACGGCTCCTGCTGGTTTAATGTCTCTTAGAGAAGTTACTTACCAAAAATGAGTTGTAAATTACAAGAGAAGGAAGGCTAACCCATTACATTTGGTTGGAGGTCAGCTTTGAATATGGAAAGGGTACATGGTTTAAATGCAGAGCAGTATAGGGGTTAACACCAGATAATTAGGTTTAACATCTGTTGTGTGACCCTAAATATAAGTGGAAAGCATGACCTGATGTGATCTCTGCCATTGTGACCTTAGAGGGGAAGGGTTAAGCTCCAGGGCAAAGGTAGGTAATTTTATCTACATTGAGATTCATACTGGGATCCTTAAATCAAAAGTGTCTAACTTGACATTTGCAATTGATATGAGATGCCCCTAGCCCAGTCACTAGCCTCCCCCAAGACCAGCTGTCTTAGCTTTGTACAAAAGACAAAAGAGCAAATCAAAAGCAGATCATCCTAAGAACACCTAGATAAGTGCAAACATTTGGTAATTTAAACTTTTCTGAGGATATTAATTCCAATTTTTCAAAGCAACTTAAAAGCCAGAATTACCAAAACTAAAGAAAAGGTTATATTAACATGTAAAAAGAATTTTGAAGAAAATAGCTAAGGAAAGTGCATTTAGAAGGAGATACTGTGTCCTTTTCTATTTAGAATAAAAATATTGTACTTATCATACTTTATTCAAATCCATTAATTGTGAGACCATTTACCATATGATTTCAGGTTTTTAAAGCACATATATCAGTTTTATCAATAACCTAATGAATGAAAAATATCCACATTTATGTCGTATTACATGATAGCAATATCAGAAGTAATTTTCTCCTGATCCTTAGTCTGGGATATAAATAAACCACCATACTGAAACTAATAGAAATATTTCAGATTATAAGAATTTAATGACTGCTGACTTCTCTTTTTTGATTAAAATTTTTTAATTGATTTCTTCCATATTATTTGTATTCTAAAAAATCTGTAGAATTGGAAGCAAACTCGGCTGGGCTTGGTGGTTCACGCCTGTAATCCTAGCCCTTTGGGAGGCCGAGGTGGGCGGATCACGGGGTCAGGAGATCGAGACCATCCTGGCCAACACGGTGAAACTCCGTCTCTACTAAAAATACAAAAATTAGCCAGGCGTGGTGGCGGGCACCTGTAGTCCCAGCTACTTGGGAGACTGAGGCAGGAGAATGGCACGAACCCGGGAAGTGGAGCTTGCAGTGAGCCCGGATCGCACCACTGCACTCCAGTCTGGGCAACACAGCAAGACTCCATCTCAAAAAAAAAAAAAAAAAAAAAAGAATTGGAAGCAAACTCAAATGTCATTATGTATTTTATATGTCAGTAAAATTCCACTCCATCCTATTACCTGGACTTTTATAAAACTTGTAAACACAAGAAGAGATTATGCAGTGTTTCATGAAAATTTCTTGAAATTTGAAATTAGAAGTCAATGGTAATATTTTTCTCTAAAAATATTGATCATTGACAATTGCTACAGCAGCAAATACTGATAAATGTTAACAGTATTACTGTTAACTATTGCTTAATAAAATGAATTACGTTTTCAGTGTGTATCATTAGAGTCTACCTATTCTGCCAATGCATCTTGCTGTTTCCTGTCATAGCATAGGTAGTGCTTCATGATTTCCTTCCCATAGAATGACTATCAAAAATCCACTCATGCCTTGTCAAATGTCTTTCTTTCTGTTATTCTTTGTTACTTCGAGTCAAATCCTATTTCCCCTGCTTTTCTCTTCTCTTAGTCAATTAGATGAACTTGAGGGCTTAAATTGAAATCATGACAAGGAAAAAAGTTCCAAGAACTTTTAAGAACTTAACGGCCGAGGGTCTTGTCATTCTTCTTTGTAAAATGGATACATCCAAATATTTACAATAGAGATAAGGAGTAGCATATGATTCCATTCATTCTCATTCTCTCATTCCTAAAAATACTCATAGATGTCTTGCCTGGGTATACGTTTTCCTCACTGCCTGATATACTATCTCATAATCTCACTGTCCTGTGAAAAGTACTGATGTAAAATCTGAAAGCAATATAATTTCTTCATCATTGTGAAGAAAGGAAATTCATTCTGAATAGAATTTGATCCCTTTAAGGAAAAACCATTTTTAAGTAAGTGGCAGTAGTACCACCGCTAAATACAGCTAGTTTTGGCTTGATCATAAATCAAAGTTAAAACCTTCTTTTGAGTTTTAGCCCTGAAATTTCTTCCCTTTTAGCCCTTTTATTTATTCCTTCCCGTATCTGTTCATTTATTGGGTCTCTTATTCTAAAAGAAGAATAAGAGTGAGAAATAAAAATTAGGAACACAACTTATATTCCTTTATATATACAGCTGGATAATTTACTCTGGGTAATTTTAAATACAGTCTGGTAGAAAGCACACAGGACTGAGAATCTGAAGGGTCTTGGCCCTACTACTTAGAAATGTACTGTGTTCTTAGAGGCAAGTCATTAGGCTGCCAAAGTCTCTGTACCCAATTACAAGGAGTCATTAGGAAAAAGGGGAGCTTGGACATAATTGGAGGAGTAAATTAGATGGAAGAATACAAGTAGGTGCTTTAAAAAATAGGCTTTAGAGAAATAGAAAAAGCTGAAATACATCAGAGCCTAAATCATTCCAAGTTGACCTTGGAATTGACCCCTGCCTGTATATTCAGGCAAAAAGAAAGCAGTAAACTTGGCAAAAGAGACAGTTACCTAATCAGACTTTAAGGACTTAGAATGGAGTCATTATGGGGATAATAAGAGCATAAGACCACCTTTGGGAAGAAGATTGAGATCTTCCATCACAGGCACATAGATAATTTTCCTCTGCTGTGCCAGCATGAGGAAACCATGTAAAGCCTTTCCTAAGCTGTTCTCCTTTACAGAATCCAAATATTTCATATTCATGAAATTTAAACAGGAATCCGGAAATAAAGAACAACGATGAAAAACTGAAAACTGTAAGGGTCTCACAAAGCAATATATGAAAGCACCTGTAAACTATAATGCATTTATGTATAATATAATACATTGATTTATTGTATTGATAGTAAAATACAATTATTGTATTAAGAATGTGATATGACTAGGATGTTATTTATCTTGAGTTCATTAAATCTGCATTTATTAAGGATACTCTAATGTATTTTGCAAACTTTAAAATGAACACATTTTAAATATTTTTATTTGAAAAAATAGTAAATTGTTGAGATAGCCTTCATAATATATCTTTCTGATATATTAAAACATTCAGTTACTGTAAGGCATTGTCTTTAAAAAGTCTACTTAGAAAAGTAAAAGTAATAACCTATTCACTGTATTATGTAATGAGAACTGCAAACATTTAGGCCACATATACATTATATAATAGTTGTTCACAGTAATCAGTCAGTCAATCCAGCAAAATAAATTAAAAGGGACCAGCACCACCAGAAAATAGTCAGTGTTGTAATCTGTTTCAGATCCAAAGTTTCTTTCATCTCATTATTTCCTAACTACCAAGAACTTGTGAAATACGTAGGATGTGCTTTCTGAGAAGGATGTCAAACAAATATTTTTATGCCTTACTTAATTGCATTTTATAATTGCTGAAGGTCATACCACATTTCAAATGTTCTCATATATGGAAAACTGCTATTAGAAGTGGGGAGAAAGATGAAGTTTTAAAATACCTGGGTCAATAGTTGAAGAAAAAATCTCTCTGAAATGGAAAAAAAAAAAAAAATTGAGATAAGAAGTGTCAGAGTGTCAAACTGACCTCAACATAAATTACAGATCTTACCCATTGCTGAATTTACTAGTAATCAAAGGATACAGACAATAGTAAGACTCATGCTTAGCATGCTTTCCTTTGAGAGGTCTATTAGTGCAATTTTCTGAAAGTCCCTTTATTCCACATTAGCACATGTTCTGGTTTGGATTTAGCAGTCAGGGTTCTAAGCAATGCATGCATAATATTACTTGCACAGAGGGAACCATTTCAGCTCTGGAACCTCTCCAAATTCTCCCGTATTAATTATAAACTTATATGGCAATCTCCATGCATCCGTGAGCCCACAATTCTATGGATTTTAGGTGTTTTACGATAAGCCACCCAGACAGACCAGGCACATCTTGGTTACATTGCCAATCTAAGATTGGCAAAAGATCAAATTGTCAAATTCTATTTATGTAAATTATGGATTGTACCCAGTACCAAATTTACTAGTGCTTGAAAGGACACAGGTGTTAGCAAACATAGACCAAGCACTTTTCCCTTGGAGCAGTCCAAGATTGCCAACATGACTTTCGAAATTCCCTTCTCTCCCAAGTTAGGATGGAGTCTATTTCAGATTCAACGTGTATAAATTTTGAGCAACACATACAGAGAAATTTTGTCTTGGAATACCTCCAAAATTTATAGCCCATGAATTGCATGACTTACATAACATTCTCTAGCTCAGTTTTCCATGAATCTATTAATTCCACATTTATTTACAATAAGCAACCTAGGCAGACCAAGTACATCCTGGTAAAAGCATTTGCTAGATGAAGATTCTGCATTACCTTTCACCTAGTACATATCATCAGTATGGTTAGCATCAGCTCCATTGTTGGCATGTCCCTTTTTACAAATTCCCTTTTTACAAGGGAATTTGACTAGATAATCACTTTTTTTCTAGGTTATCACCAGTAAAGAGAAATCATAAGCTAAAGGCCTGCTGCTAATCATTTCCGTCACAAGGAAATAATGCAAAAAAAATTATTTTTGAATGATTTCATGGTCATTCAGTTTTTGAATACAAATCCACCAAAAATAATAGAGTACTGAAGTAAGCATTATGACATTTACAGCTTATGTAAATTCACCTGCATCTTAACCAGTTAATCTGCAAGCCTCTTTTAGAAAATCTGTGAGGAATGCAATTTTAGAGTACAGTAAGAAGGTGTTTAATTTTTATTAATTGGATAATAAGAGGTTATCTTTCCTCTTTGTTAACCCAGTATGGTTGATGAGTAACTGCTATATCCCTGCAACAGAGATGGTTTTTTTTTGTTTTTTTGTTTTTTTTTTTTTGAGATGGAGTCTCGCTCTGTCGCCCAGGCTGGAGTGCAGTGGCCGGATCTCAGCTCACTGCAAGCTCCGCCTCCCGGGTTCCCGCCATTCTCCTGCCTCAGCCTCCCGAGTAGCTGGGACTATAGGTGCCGCCACATCGCCCGGCTAGTTTTTTGTATTTTTTAGTAGAGACGGGGTTTCACCGTGTTAGCCAGGATGGTCTCGATCTCCTGACCTCGTGATCCGCCCGTCTCGGCCTCCCAAAGTGCTGGGATTACAGGCTTGAGCCACCGCGCCCGGCCCAGAGATTGTTTTTACATAATCTGTTTCATCACTGAGAAGTACAGTGGTTCTGTCACTGAACCTGAACCAATACTCAGATTGGAAAATCTATTACAGAAATGATGGTTAGGTTCTGGCAAGACTGGCCCAATAACTGATGAATAATTTCTTTTATTTTCTTTTAATTCTCTCTTGTCGGTGCTGTTAGTCCTGATTCTTGGAATAATCCAGTGATGATGACCCTCACCAAAAGCAGATCCTTTACTTCGTCCTATGCTATTTCTGCAGCTAACCATGTAAAGGCTAAAAAGCAAAGTCGACCAGGTAAGTAACTTAACTGGAGAAGGGTTCATACTGTAAGTGTGGAGTCATAGAGCAAACCAGACCTTAAGTGTTGAAATATTCTGAGGGTGCCCTGTATTCAGTTATGTTTGGTTTGTCTGTTCTAATAACCAATTAGTTATTTTTTTAAAGCCTCAATAACCAATTAGTTATTTAAATTTCTACCTTATGTGATACAGATTCCTTCAAAGTTGTTGTATCAGATTTCCTATCTTGAACTAATTAGATGCACAGGAAATGACTTTTACCATCAAGGATCATCTCTGGTAGCATCATCTCATGATAGAAATTCCAATTTTTTAGTGTCTATTAAAATTGTGTTTCAGGAGTATGATATATGACTTCAAGGAAGTGTTTCATTTACTACACATGAACTCTGATAAGGAATTGAGATATCGAAATTAAGAATAATAAAGCTTTAGATAGGAACATGAAATGATATTGGGGAAGACTACCTCATTTGTTCAGGGTTCTTGCTCACCCAAACCTGTAATAGGAGTTTGTGTGAGATTCTGTCTCTGAATTGCCTTTCCCCTAGAAGCCCAATTAAGAATCTGGAATGTTTCCTCTGACCTTTCCTTTTTGGAATCACGGTTTCACTTCTCAGTATTACAGAAAATATCAATGAGATTTTCAGTAACTTCCTTAGTTTCTTAATCTACTGCCTTTAGCAGTTTAAGAGTTCATCAAATGGTTAAAAGTAAAACTGCCCACTTCCCACTGAGATATGAAACATTCAAGTTCTGGCTGCCATGGCAACCCCAAACTCCAATTTTTATGTCATCAGCCTCATGACATTGCTAAAAGCTCTGCTGGCTTGCCTCCCGAATAGCTGCACCCCTCTGTCTGGATCCTTCACTTCTTACTCCATGCCAATAGTCAGTAAATCGTGCTATGAAGGGAAGAACAGTTTACAAGATTTGGGCTCACCTTTCTGAGGTTCTCCTCTTTATGGGAATCTAGTCCCTCAGCATTGTGTGCTCTGCCTCGATAACTTTTTTGTATCATTTTATTGGAATTACATCAGTAAAAGAGATCATTAAGCTAATCTACTTTTCCAACAACTAATCTGGTCCTCTCTGCTCTTTAGAAATGTTCATTAAATTTTGCCACTTAGAAGTTATTAATGACCTGCTAATAAAATTGAGCTTTCACCAGGGCCAGGCAATGTAGGATAATGTAGGCAAATACTTTTAAATTGAGATATTCCTGAAGGCAAATGCGGATTAGCTCAGTACTAAGAAGAATCATCTGGGACTCCAACAAGGTGGAGAAACTGCATTTGAGAATTCCACATTAAACCCAAGAGTCTTAAAGGAGCGCTAAAGTGGTTTTAGGTATGTAAGGCCCCTTGGCTCCCTACAAAAATATATACAGATACTTTTGGAAGGGAAGCATCACCAGTTAAGGGCCATGAGATTTTATCAGATCAGATTCAAACATAGAGCTTACAACCAGGATCACTAATTGCACAAAGAAACACCATGAGTTTGAGTTAACAGAAACAAAAATACAACTTTCTAGATCTGTAAAAGGATGAAAATATTTAAATTAAAATTTAATTCAAAAATTTACATATTTAAGGAAAAATAATAGCAATGAGAAAAGACGTAACTGCAGAGCAGCTAAATATAACTTTTGGAAATGTAGTCAAGGAAATATTAAATAGTATAGTAGACTACTGAATTAGTAAACTGGGTAGAGAACGATCTGAAGAAATTATCCAGAAAGCAATACAGATGAAAAATTGGAAAATATAATAGATTTTAGGAGATACAAAAAAATTAGAGAGTCTAATATACATGATATGTGTAATCAGAGTTTTAGTAGCAAATAGAAGACAAAAAATACTCAGGAGAAGCCTAGTAAATGGAAAGAAACTCACACGTAGATACAAAATAGTGAAACTACACAACACCAAAGATACACACACAAAAAAATCCTAAAGTCTACCAGAGAAAAGACAAATTTCCTTTTCAGGAAAGGCAATCAGGCTGAGAGCAGAACTGTCAGAAATACTAGGAGTCAGAACACAGTAGAATATTTTCTTCAAAGCTCTGAAACAATATGATAACCTAAAGTTTTGTGCCTGGCAGTTTCATCTTACAAGAATAGGAGCGAACTAAAGACAATTTGAAAGAAGTCAAAACTTTACCATCTGCCAAATCTTTACTAAAAGAATTTATGATGGATATATTCTAGAAAGAAGCAGAAGAAGAGAAAGTTTGAGATCTAATAAAAATGTTAAACAAATCTGAAAACCATGAGTCAATCCAAACAAACATTAAATTCATAAATAATAGTATTTCCAGATTTGTGAATAGTTTTTATAAGATTTTTTAAGGACAGAACTAAAATTTCAGACAGTAATAATATGTAATTCAAGAGATGAAATATAAATTTAAGTGTTCTAAATCTATGAGTAGCTCAGAAAGGGGGTTCACATGAGAAAACTGAGGAACAAGAAGGTTAAGTAATTTGCTTTCTCTAGGTCATACAATGAATCCGAATACTTTCTTTTGTCCTAATGACTTCATACTAGAAACAAATGAGGATGACAAATTGTCATAATTTAAGGTTAGGATTTTTTTTGGTTCTGACTTTGGGTAGGTGTAAGATAATAGAAGGATTTGGTTTTCTCTCCCTGTTTCTTTGGTTCAGTAATAACATAAAAATTATTGAGTAACCAACATGATAAGATCAAGAAGCTGAAAGTTATGATTAGGCAGACACTGGAAATAACAGAGCAAATGATGCAACAGCCTCATATTCCTGTGTCCTGATCCCCAGTTGGTATGACTGCACTTTAGAAGAAAGAGCAAAGTGTAAAAGGAAAGGAATGTTCACATAAGATACCACATGGGTAGGTGGTAGGAATGAGAGCCACAGCCATAGCAAGAGTGCCCTTCCATTCTTGCCATCAAGTGCATAAGACATTTCCATCATGATCATTTTGGAGTGGATTTTGCATTGTGGCATCTTTAGACAGCTGTCACAGCACAGCTAAAAGTTTATAAAATAACCTGTATCCCAGGCATGCTGAATCTAACTGATTAAATTCCTAAAGGTCTGCCAAAAGAGACAAAAACATCTATCAAGAATCAGAGAGCCGAAAAGAGATTACAACTCTATCCTAATCAGATAGGCCCTTCTGCTTTAAAATCCTTGCTTCCCTGTTTGGGTTGTTGATGGAGCTAAGTAGTTGTGACATGTTTGATGCAGTTGACTGTGATGCATCCTGGTTTTCCATAAATTCCATGGAAAGAAGCTGGGAAGAGCCCCCTCGTGGCAAAGAGTGTAAGCAAATGGAATCAAATGAAATGTGAAGAGAGTCTGAGGAAACACGTAAGAGCAATAGGCAATGAGGTGGAGAGAAAGCAAGTATGAAGTAAGAAGAGACATACAGAAAGATAAATACCCTGTTTCCAGAGAGGGCTAATGAAATCTGTTCTTTGCGCAAATCAAGTAAACAGAGTGTCCTTTAGTTCAGTCAATCAATGTTAATTTTAAATAACTGAAACACAAATTATTATGCAGTTACTAATATAAAATAAATGAATGAAATCACATAGGACTCCTTTAATTGAAGCTTAAAAGCAGGAGATTCAAATATAATTTGTATTTTCAATTTTGCTCCTCTAGTATGAGTCACTGACATTATGGAGCTACCATGATACCATTCTGCTTTAAAAATTCCTTGAATTTATAGTTACTGTATTTGCAGTAGTCCTTTCCCGGATTCTTGTAAGTTTGGCTGCCGATTGCAGTGATAACAGATATCTCTACACCTATAATCTAGACTGTTTTTCTTATACAAAATTTGAAAATATAGAGAACTTTAATTACGGTATTCTGATTCTTTTTCTTTGGCATTCTCTTTAGATGCAATTTCTGCTTTGGAAAAAATATTCAGGCTGTCCATTTTCATCTGGGCATGGAAAAAAAAGATGTCTTTATCAGACAAGCTGGTTCCTTTTTTGTTCCATTAAAATTAAACTGAGAGAGTTTTATAGCACAAAACAGATGGATTCACTTAAATAATTCCCCTGCAGTATTGTTTATTTTCTCTCTTTGATTGCCCAAAATTCCTTGTGTCCTGATACACATTTTCTCATGCTCTCAGGAACAAGGAATTAAAGGCCGAATTACTCAAAGGAGTTGGCATTTTAGACTTTATTTTTAAAATTATATTTTTAATTTTTCGTTTTTAAGTGTTTTGATTTTAAGTATTTCACATTAGGACAGTTTGAATCATTCAAAAATTTATGTTTCATGAGCTATGTCTTCTTCCTGGAATCTGCTAAAATTACTCAAATATAAAGTGAAGATAAACATTAATATATTTGAGAGAATGCATGTTTATCTGAATCTCTTCAGTCATGTGTGAGTGTGTAAATGTGTGAGTGTGCGATGTAAAATTAGATGAGATTTTCAAAGGTTCTAACAGTCATCCCTCTAACTTTAGACATGATTACATTGAAAGCATTTTAGAAAATTTGTTTTTGAAGACTTCCAAAGGTTATTCCTCCCAGTTCCTTAGATTGTCCTCTTCCTGTATCTGAAATCATTTATTTATAGTTTATCCTTTCTATAAAGAAAATTTGGTTATTATCTGCATTTATCTCCCTATCTTTTTGAAGACCGATACGGTCTTCAAAACATGCATGTACATCCTAATTCTTTCTGTTTTTAAACTTCAAGTAAACTGTGATAATGCACACTGGGAAAAATAGTAGTTTGGCTTTGGGAAAGAAAGAGAACTTACACTTTTATAACTTTAGCTTCTCACCTGCAGAATAGAAATATCCCTGCTTCTCATGAGTGTTGCCGAGAGTTACCCTTTTTTTTTTTTTTAATTTTGTGAGACGGATTCTTGCTCTGTCGCCCAGGCTGAAGTGCAGCTGTGGCGTGATCTCAGCTCACTGCAACCTCCACCTCCCGGGTTCAAGTGATTCTCCTGCCTCAGCCTCCAGAGTAGCTGAGATTACAGCCATGCGCCAGCATATCAGGCTAATTTTTGTATTTTTAGTAGAGATGGGGTATCATCATGTTGACCAGGCTGGTCTCGAACTCCTGATCCCAGGTGATCCCCCCTCCTCGGTCTCCCAAAGTGCTGGGATTACAGGCATGAGCCACCACGCCTAGCCGAGTTATGCTTTTAAAAGTGTTCAAAATATGTAGACTAATACTACAGAAGCAGAGCTTCTCTATTACAGGTTTATTTTAAATTTCATCCCAGGCAGTAAATTTGATGTCTTAAAATCTGCTTGTTTGTTTAAATTTAGTTAATCTGTGAGTTCCAAGAACTCTAATGGTTGTGTGAATTTTAAAATTTGTGTTTGAGAGTGAATTGCATGTATCTGAAGCAATCAGCTGGCAGCTACTAAAACTTAGCAATGAAAAAAATCACTCTTCTCATAAATTGCCTTCAGAAAAAACAGGGTGTCAAGACAGAAATGGACAATGTTCTCATGGGCTTTGAACTATTGTTCTGTTAAAAAAAAATTGTGTAGAAAACTGTCCCAAAACTCACAGTTTACTATGAGAACAACTAAGGAATTGCCTAACACAGTGTCTATCAGGAATCTCTTTTTCTTATGACACAGCAATTACTTTTAATTGCTGTTTTTGCAATTACTTTTCATTGCAAAAACCACAATTACTTTTGCACCAACCTAATAAAACTTTGCCCTGGCCCTACCCAACCCTATCCAGACTTGCCCAGCAACCTCTCTGACCACGTTCCCTGCCCCTCTTTTTCCTTTTTGCTAAGCTGCCAACCACTGACCTCCTGACTGCTCCTCTGACATCCCCCAGGTATGTCCCTCTTTCCTGAACATGCTTTCCCCAGCTACTTCTCTCTAAATGTCTTCTGTATTTCATGAGGCCTCTCTTCAAATTTTACCCACCCCCACCCCTTCCCAGCCAGGAAGGCCTTCCCAGTCCATCCTATCTAAAGAGCATTTATGTTCTTCCCTGCCTTCTACCCTGTGCATTGTTTTCTTCCTCTTATTTGAATTTAAGTTAACTTTTCTTTTTTATTGACTTTATTTTTTTAGTTTCTGTCTCCCCTAAAGAGGTGGGAGCTCCATTAAGAGCAGGGATTTTATTTTGTACCCTACTCCATCCATGGAGCAAGACTCACAATAAATACTTGTTGGATGAATAAATCCTTGAGATACTCAGTACAGATACCTTGCTAAACTTTCTACCACATCTTACTAGGATTCAGCTCCTTAACGGCTATGGTACCTTTCTAAGATTATCTGGAGTTACAGTCTAAATCCAAAAAGTGGTCAAAATTAGACCAACCCTTTTTAACCTTTACATCACAGCACCCATCTATGTGTAATAGTATTTGTGAATACCATAGCATTGGAGAAATGAGAAGGGATTTTGAGTTTTAAAACTAGATTTCCTTTATTTTATAAAATTATAATGAGAAAAACTAATTATAAGCTATTGGAGATAATATTAAAAATTGAGTTTATTCTAGAGTTTCCAAATAAAATATTTCTTTTTTAAAAAATATTTTCAACCAGTAAATAATTCACAGCAAACTTGGAACCCACTTGCTGCACACAATCATACATTGGCTGGGAAATTCTGAGTTAAAACCTTTGTGAACTTAATTTTTTGTTTTGATTTGTTTTTGGCTCAGGATACTATGTAATGTGAAGGCTTGTCGTTATCTTTGGAAAAATAACTGAGTCTTTTTAATAGAAGTAGAAACCCAAATAAAAGCCATTAGGCATTACATAAGGAGCAATGCAAATGCTGCCTAATAGGCCATTGATTTTACTTCCCCCTTGGATAGTCTCTGATAGAGGTACTGGCTTATAAGCCTCATTTTACTAAGAATAGCTGGGTTTGCTCTATATTGTTCCACGTACTAGTACTGTGACCTTGGGAGGGTTTTTTACACTCTCTGGGTCTAAGTGGTTTTGTTTGCTTAGTATAAAGGCTGGGAGGGGGTTGAGCTGCTGGTTAGGAATTAACAATAGATAGGTTGAGAAAGAACTAGAAGGGAGTGCTGCTCTTCACACTGAAGCAAGGGGGGAGTGAGATTTCTCATCTTTAACAACAACAACAACAAAAATAAATCACAGTGCCAACAAGAAATTAAAAAGAAAATTATACACATACACACACACACACACACACACTCCCTCAACAAACTTAATATTCTTTTCAGTGGACCAGAAAACCTTTGGTGTGACAAGTCAAACTTTTGAGGAAGCTACATCCTGGAAACAAACTTTGCTGTAAGCCAACTGCCAGCTAACCGCACACATCATTTGATGATGTGAAGGTGGATGGCTGTAAATTTTCCTAAGTGGTGAGAAATAGAGAACGACTTTTAATAATGTCATTTCATTTGCCCTACGGTACATTGTTCAGCCATAAAATCATGAAAACCAGTAAGCAGGTTTTTGGCCAGAAGTTATTTCTCTCCTTTTTTCCATTTTAATTGCAGACTGCCTTCTCTGTGTTTGGGAGAGAGTAACTTCAAAAGATATCTTCCTTGTCTTCCAACAGCCACACTTTGAAATCTAAGCCAGTGTCCTGTAAAACTCTTACAATCTAGAGTAAATACAGACAGTTTGGCACAAATACCCACACTTGAAATGGAAGCTTTAGGTCTATTGTTTGATCTGAAATGGATTATATTACATTTTAAAATGTTTTCTTCAAAAATTATTTCGATCAAAGCAATCTTTCACACCAAAAGGTCTTATTTCACTGAAACTGCGAGTTGTTAAGAAGGTTAATTTCCTCTCAGTAATGCATCTTCTTTATTTACATATTTTAAGCATCTGATGCCTGCTGAACTCTGCCCCAGATACTGGTTAATGTTTAAAACAATAGCAGATCCTGTTCCTGCTAAAACCTTCACAACCTAAGAGAAAATCAACATATGAGAAAATTTTAACTATTATTTCCATGTCAGAATGACAAGAAGAAACAAAAATGGGAGGAGAAAATAATATCCTGTCCTGAAGTTACTCCAGGACACCAAGGCTTTGACTGTACGTGCCAACATTGCCACTATTTTTTTATGATGATTCATTCCTCCCATTGAATGCTGTGGAGACACCCCAACCGCACTGGCTTCAGATGTTGGTATGTGGAGGAGGCCAGCCCAGTGACCTGAGCAGGCACGTGGTTGTTACTGAGTTTGTAAGAGTCCAGGTGAAGTTCAACAGTTGCAATTTTGCATCTTAAAGACATCTGTTTAGTTACTTAACTCTCATTCTTTCTCAGGTGCCCTCGCTAAAATTTCACCTCTTTCATCGCCCTGCTCCTCACCTCTCCAAGGGACTCCTGCCAGCAGCCTGGTCAGCAAAATTTCTGCAGTGCAGTTTCCAGAATCTGCCGACACAACTGTCAAACAAAGTCTAGGTTCTCACAGGGCCTTAACTTACACTCAGAGTGCCCCTGACCTATCCCCTCAAATCCTGACTCCACCTGTTATATGTAGCAGGTAAGGATTTTTTATGAACTGAAGTTTAATAATAAAATTGATGATGGTTTTCCCCTAGAAATACCTACCACCAGCCCACGCAGCTTGGGGTTGATTTGCCAAAGTAGTTGACAACCAAGTATAGGATAATGTGATTTGTGTTGAATAGACTACAATAAAAACTTATGTTTTAGTAGTTTTCTATTAACAAAGTTTAGAATCCATGCAGTTCATACAGCTAATCTTTAGAGAGGATACAAAATCGTTAGCTGTATATGTTGCCTGTTTCCTGATGGTGAATATAGAAAATTTATAACTAAAAAATGATATCAAGTATTCTGTTGTAATGCTTCATTTTGTTGGAATGTTTGTACTTGTTCTCCAGGGAACTTGTTACATTGATATTAGCCATATTTAATCGTCAGTTTGCATTTCCCATTTTTACAGTTTAAAAATGTGTGAATAATACATCGCACAGGATGGCTGGACTCAAATAGTTTTCTGAATGCAATTTAAGCAATTGTATGTGCTATTCTATCATGTTGAAACAAAATTACAAAGTGTTATCTATCACAGAGGTTAAGAAAAAAATGGCCTAGCATGACTAGAGTAATTATTTTGCCAAGGTTGTCACAAGAAATAATTATCTCTTCTTACTGGTTAATGTATTTTTATTGTTCTTCACTAATAGTTTGAATAATTTATCTTAAAGCATTATGGTATTTTTTAAGTAGAAAAACAGTTGAATGTTTTTAACTATGAGAGTACCTTGAATAAAATAGTATTTCATTTCTGAGGTTGATGAGGATTACTGTTTGAATAAATGAGTAACATGTTGGTTTTCTAGTATCAAATATTACTTCACAGACTCAGCTTTTTTCAATATATTCAGATTTAAGAAATAGCAACTTATATTAAGCCTTATAATTTTCATTTTCATATTTTTACTCATAAGCTCTGTAAATTAAATGAATGTTCTTTATAATTTTTATTTTTACCTCCTTTCTCTTTACTGACATTTTTAAATGAGAAATTATTTTCATTTGTTCGCCCAGAGCCAAAGTTATTCTACTATGCAAAAGTTATTCTGCTGCCTTCTATGAGTTTTTTAATAAAATAATTTCTGCGGGATATTAATCTCATCTCTTTTCCACAAAAATGCAAGTTCTGTAGTAAACTATTCAGAAGATATATCATACTTCCCTGTTAGAAATTCACAACACACATGGCTTTATTAAAAGCTCTGAGAAGCTCTGTTAAAAGAATCCCTCTTTATTTATTTTTGTTGTTTCATTTAGTGTTTTTTGAATTTATTTGACCACAGAACCAATTTATTTGGGTTAACACCCAAGAATTGCTCACGGATCTAATGTTTGGCAGAACACAATTAAGAAACATTGTTTTATTGTATGCACCCTGAGCCAAGATGAAGCCCAGTGGAGTAATCTTCATCAAGGACATCTGGGTTCAGCATTTTTAGGGAGAGTCTCCCACTGTGGGTTCCGGACTTTGGGAAAATAAGTCCCCTACAGAAAGGAGAGAGATGTTCAGAAAAGCTCTACCACTCACATAGCTTTTTTCATCATAGTGTAGTTTTTTGTGTTTTTTTTTGTTGTTGTTGTTTGTTTGTTTTTGTGTTCTTAGCAGGAAGAATGCAATGGGATTTTTATAAAAGGTTTCAGAGAAAAACAAGAGGATTTCACTGTCTACTTGTTCAGTAATGTTTATAAATCCAGTAGTGTGTGTTTTATTTGTTTGGGCCTTATAAATCTGTAATTCAAACCCGGTTTTATTATTGCCTTAAAGGCAGCCACCCATGTAGGCACAGAGAGCTCCAGAAACACACGACTAATTGTTGTGGTTTCCCCTGCTGAACTTGAAGAGTTTGGCGTTGAATCCCAGTCTCTTGGCTGCTGTAATGTCTATGCAACAAGCTATTTTTCTGGCATGAGAGCTGGCATATTGGAAGTACTAATTTAAATGGTCCTTTTAGGTATTACTTTGCAATGAAAAATTTTCAGGCTAATAAACTCAACTTCTTCTGAGCTTCGTCTAAGAATGTAAGCCTACCAATTCCATCTCCTTTCTTTTTCCTTTTTGTCCTATCATTTTCTTTTTGTTCTCTAACCCAAACTGACAGATTTAATAATTAGAAATATTTTACAGGTAATGTTTTTCTATTTACACTCAAGGGTTGAAAAGTAAAGTTACTTAGTATGCAGATGAGGTCTTCCTGGAAAATGCTCTTCTGTTAGCGCACACACGAGCACAATTCAGGGAAAAAAAATGATGAGTTATTTAAGATATTAAACAATAAGCTATCACTACTTTTTTCATTTTAGAGTGGGTAGTCTGTGGTTAAATAACAAACAAATAAATCCTCTGAGACCCTTTGTAATATTAGTCAGAAAGAAAGAACCCAGCAGCGAAATGCAGAATCAAAATCTAATCATGAAGTCTCTAAACAAGATAGAAGAGGGAAGAGTCAGTTTATGGCCTGAGCCAGGTCATTTGTGGGGTTACTGTTTAATTTTTGAAACAGTCAAACTTCATTCCTCCAACACCCTCTGGTAGAGCGCATTGCTTACCTCTCTTAACTTTGTTTCTCTTGGTGGTTTATAGTACTTCTGGGGCCTGTTTCTCTCAACCAGCATCCTCTGTAGTCAGTCATACATTCACTGGTCATCAAAATACACCCGTCTTTTGTTCATTTCCCTAGGGCCTTAACAAGTAACTGATCAATCTGATAAAAAGAAGTCAATTTTTTATTTTGTAGCAAAACGTAAAATTCATATACTATCATTCTGTTTCAACCTATCCTGTCTTAAAGGTCTGTTTAGACATGAAAATATCGTAACCCAAATAAATAAATCTAACAATGAGGTTCTTTTTTTTTATTTTTTATTTTTTTTTTGAGATGGAGTCTCACTCTGTCACCCAGTCTGGAGTGCAGTGGTGCAATCTCCACTCACTGCAGCCTCCATCTCCCAGGTTCAAGTGATTCTCCTGCCTCAGCCTCCCTGAGTAGCTGGGATTACTGCGTCCACCACCCCACCTGGCAAATTTTGTACTTTTAGTAGAGACAGGATTTCACCATGTTGGCCAGGCTGGTCTTGAACTCCTGACCTCAGGTGGTCCAACTGCCTTGGTCTCCCAAAGTGCTGGGATTACAAGCGTGAGCCCATAATGAGCCTTTAAGCAGCCTGGCCCATAATGAGGCTTTCAAGCAGGCACAGAGGTATTTATTGTGGCAGATAACCCTTGTCCAAATATAGATCAACACCTACAAAATGGCCACTATAAGTAAGTCGCAGCCTATACCAGTATTCTCTAAATAATCTAACAAAATTTTACCATCACTTTCACCTCAAATATGATCTAGGTAAAGGAGGAGGAGACTGAGAGTCAAATGAACTTTCTAATCCTTTGTAGTGACTACTGTCTCACAAAAAAGAAAGCAGTACACTGCATATCAGCATTTATGTATCAAACAAAATGAATATTTTCACAAAACAAATAAGCAGAAGGTAGAAATATTTGATTATTGTTGTTTATCTTAATGTAGACGTAGATGGTATGTGCCTATGACTTTTCCAATGTTTTTTAGCTGTGGCAGACCATATTCCCAAGGGAATCCTGCTGACGAGCCCCTGGAGAGAAGTGGGGTAGCCACTCGGACACCAAGTAGAACAGGTAATTCATTGTTTTGGATTCTGTTTCCCAAAATGGAAATTGCCTTATTTTTGTTTTCCTGATCAAAACGGTGACCTACATTTCTGATTTTTTGGGGGGTGCTGGGAGACATGGTCTCATGATGTTGGCCAGATTGGTCTCAAACTCCTGGCCTCAAGTGATCCTCTCGCCTCAGCCTCTTGAAGTGCTAGGATTGCAGGCATGAGCCACTGCGCCTGGCCTGATTTTTTAAATTGCAGATTTAAAAAGACAAGGGAGAAAATTAAAATCATCTGTACCCCTACTCACTGGAGTTAACCATTGGTAAAGTTTGGGTGCAAAGCTTTCCAAAATGTTTTTATACATTTATACATGTGTATATTTCTAAAACACAAGAGGCCATTGTATATAATATATAGAACTATATAGAAATACTATTTTATCTTGCTACTTCTGACATTGGAAGTACTTTAAGTGGTTCCCCAAACATAGCAAATACTCAATAAACTTCCTTCAGGCACCTTACTCAGCTATGAGAAACGTCATAGGAGCTCAGAGACCATAGACGTCAGACTCTGGGTATTTACTGATTGGTCTTTTAGTTAGTACAGTTTCCTGCTGACTGAAATGGGGACAGTGAAAAAGGGCAGATAAGGAAGGAAGCCACAGGATTCTAAGAAATGGGATTGGATACATAGGATTTCCCATGCTCCCAAGCATATGCCATCACTCTGTGCTCTACAGAGCACTTTACTCCTGGGTATGTCAATTCAATTTCTCCCACCTCATGTGCCCATTCTAGAGTGTTATAGTCACTCAGTGGTTTAACGTATAGGGAGAGAAATAGAGAAAAAAGAAACATAAAGTCCTAGGATTTGTTAAAGGTATGAACTGTTGATCTAAAAAATATTATTGAGGGATTATTGAATGTCATGCGGATTACAGATTATAATTTCCATCTGTTTTACTTTGTTAACAGATGTGTGATGTTCTCCACCCTATGATCCTATATTCTTGGAGTGTAAGCTCATGAAAGCCCTGTTTCCCTAAACAGTATATTTACCATATGCATCTTAGCAAAATTTGCTTAAATGAGCCGCCTTTCCCCATTGTGGATCTCGTAATAAGTTGTTGTCTTTTAATTGTAGATGACACTGCTCAAGTTACCTCTGATTATGAAACCAATAACAACAGTGACAGCAGTGACATTGTACAGAATGAAGATGAAACAGAGTGCCTGAGAGAGCCTCTGAGGAAAGCGTCGGCTTGCAGCACCTATGCTCCTGAGACCATGATGTTTCTGGTAATCCCATATCATCACTTAACTCATTCATTTACTTGAGAGATCAGCTTCTGTTACAGATACTGACTTAGAAATGAATCTCTGAGGCCAGGCATGGTGGCTAACACCTGTAATCCCAACACTTTGGGAGAACGAGGCAGGCAGATCACGGGGTCAGGAGTTCGAGACCAGCCTGACCAACATGGTGAATCCCCATCTGTAATAAAAATACAAAAAAATTACCCAGGCATGGCCAGGCACAGTGGCTCATGCCTGTAATCCCAGCACTTTGGGAAGCCGAGGTGGGCATATCACGAGATCAGGAGTTCAAGACCAGCCTGACCAACATGATGAAATCCTGTCTCTACTAAAAATGCTGAAATTAGCTGGGCGTGGTGGCGCATGCCTGTAATCCTAGCTACTCAGGAGGCTGAGGCAGTAGAATCCCTTGAACCTGGGAGGTGGAGGTTGCAGTGAACCAAGATTGCGCCATTGCACTCCAGCCTGAGCAATAGAAGGAGACTCTGTCTCAAAAAATTAAAAAAAAAAAAAAAAGTAAATAAATAAATAAATTATCCAGGCATGGTGGCAGGCACCTGTAATCCCAGCTGCTTGGGAGGCTGAGGCAGGAGAATCACTTGAACCCAGGAGGCGGAGGCTGCAGTGAGCTGAAATCATGCCGCTGTACTCCAGCCGGGGCAACAGAGTGACACTCTATCTCAAAAAAAACAAAACAAAACAAAACAAAAAGAAATTAATCTCTGAAACATGAGATTTACAGATGTATTTCATCCAGATTACACATGTATTACAGCCCTTCCCATACTTATCAATATATTTTTTCTCTTTCCAAGCATTTTTGGTCTCTTAGTGGTTCTATTATCTGGTGATTAAAAGCATAAGCATTTACAGTTACACAATGATTACAGATATTTCTTAACCCAATCAAAAAGTATATACAGGAAAATGTATTATTTCATTCCTTAAAACAATATTTTATAAACAAAGAAAAGAAAGATGAAGGAAGGGAGGGAAGAAGATATTCATTGACTTAGGGCATCTGCTGGTTTTCTCTAGTACCTCCTTGACTTAGAACATAAACCAATATTTGTTTTTCTTGTATTGTCAGGCATATATTGGCACTAGCCACCTATTAAAATATCCTTTAATGATTACTACTTTGTGTATTTGAAAAGATCCATTTAAGGAGAATGGAAGCATACATTTGAGTCAACTTCATTGTGGGGAGGTGGCAAGTGGTAGAAAACTGTTGACTCTCAAGTGATCATCAATGGCTGCTATTACCATTTTTCTTTTACTGTATTTACTGTTTGTATTTCTAAGTCAGATAGATCATCAGGTAAAATAATTTATATGTTTCCTTATCCTCATTATCTATCTTTTTTTTTTTTTTTTGGCAAATGTGCTTTTAATAACATCCTCGTTTGGGACCAATTATAAAAAACCTTTACTTTTACATAGTGCATGTTTCTCAAGAAACAGTCGATCACATGAAATAAATTAAAATCCCTAAAAAATGTGGCAACATTAATCCTATGTCCATTTTAAAGCATTAATATAAACTTAATAATAATGGTAGGAATGATCAAGTCCTCCTACTCATGGATTTCTTTTGAGAGCTTAATTTAAGAGGAAACCCTCATCTCTGAAAAATTTACATAACTATGAAGAGACGTAAATTTACATGCAATTACAGAATATTCTGAAGTCTTTAAAACTTTATTTAAGAACCTTACAGTAGACCCAAAGTAGTTATACTAACTTATAGAAGAAACATCCATGTTTTTGCTGGAGTGTATATGGACCAGTGATAGGCAAGCACCTAATAGTGCAAAATTTATATCTGAAACAGCATTAGTTCCTTTCCTTCTTACTTTGGGGTCAATGTCTCGTTCATCTTGACTTTTTTAAGCAAAATCACTTATTCACCTTGGAGTTTTAAGTCATTTATTTCCAATAGCCACAGTTGTTACTGAATTTAGCAAAGCACAAATTGCCCTGTAGAAAAACTGCATGCTGTTTAAGTATTTGAACGTTAAACATTACAGGACAAACCAATTCTTGCTCCCGAACCTCTTGTCATGGATAACCTGGACTCAATTATGGAGCAGCTAAATACTTGGAATTTTCCGATTTTCGATTTAGTGGAAAATATAGGAAGAAAATGTGGCCGTATTCTTAGTCAGGTAAGAAATGCATTCATTCACACTAATTTAAATATAGGAAAAACAGTTCCTTGGTTGCTTAAAGCTCTGTAAATTGTTGACACTTGTGGATAGGTGTTGTGTGGAGAAAGGAAGTTTTAGAACACTGTAGATTCCTTGGTGGTGGGTTAACAAAAGAAACTGGAACTTCAAGTGAGTCGGATGTCATATTCTACAATTAAAATATGATTTATTTTTAAAGACAAAGTAGGCGGGGATAGAGATACATAGACAAGGGACAAATGATCTAGAATTCATAGAATTAAGCAAAAGAAAATCTGACTGAAGCCCCTAAAAGAAGAAAACTGCCTGTTTAGAGATACTAACTTATTGTCTGTAATTATTTTCAATGACTTTTTAAAAACTTTTGAATATTACAGCACTTAGACCTTATCAAAGGTAATACATTGTGCCAAAATGTGTTTCCTCTTAGTGCTCTGAGAAACACATCACATAGAGTTATAGAATAATACTGTTGCTGCATAACCAGCCTCTGAGTATTGTTTTCTTTAGGCTAGACTACTTTCATGGCTTTTCACATAAATAATTATTCGTTTTGCTGAAGAAGAAAGAAAACAAGTAGAAATTAAGAATTTGAAAATGTTTCAAACCACAAAACAAAATGATAGATTTGCTGTACTACGGAATACCCATTGAAATACACACCCTTAATTAATAAAGAGGATGGTGCGATAATGTGTATCAGCTTATCTTCACATGTTTTAGATGTGTTCTTATCAATTTGAGTAAGTATCACAGCAGAGATAGTAAGGACCATCAAACTTGTGAATATCAGACTTAGGTAAGAATTCAGGACCCAACCCAGATTTATTGGGGCCACTAACACTTCTCTGCAAAACAATAGAAGAGAAATCACTGAAATGCTGATTTCTATGCAGTGCATCAGAGATGAGCTGTCTTTGGACCACTCAACACATGTCTCAATGTGGAACTTCGTTTGGGGTGAGGATCCTAATCTGTGAAGATTTAAGGGAAAAGATAGCAGGCCTTTCTTCTAGTGTTTGATTCTACAAGCACATATGGCTGTCTAGTCTGGGGGTACACTAACATTATTGATGGAATATGAGACAAAAAATTCTTACAAAGTCTGTAAAATATTCAATTTTGCCTCTGCTAGACTCTATTCTGTCCATCACCATGTTGAGGAATATAATGGCAGCCCTTGCACTTTACTAGGAGTTGAGAGTCCTGTTCTTCTTCCCTTCCTTTCTTCTCAGTGCTAAGCAACGTCTCACACTAGCTGATCTTAACGACAGATTTAAGGATAGTTGCTCTGTCCAATTCACCTTAGCCTCATACCTTACCTGGAAGACTGTGTATCTTCTTTCTGAAACCCATGGCAAACTGCAACTTTGAGGGAGTGATCTTTCCTGCAAATAAGCCTGTAATAGGGCCACAGGATGTGGCAATGAACCAAGAAGCATTTTCTCTCTTTATTTTATTTTAGTTTTTTTTTTTACTAGGGAGTATGTTCCCTGGTATAGAGACACACATCTCATTTTATATTTGATGTATATCTCACAGACTCTCAAAAACTTAATCTTCACAGTAAATTTAGTGCAGGATTTTTTTTAAATATGTATTTTATAGAAGAAGAAACTATGACTTAAAAGAGGATATGCTACTCTTCTAAAGTCATCTAGTAAATATTCAACCCAGGATTCCAAAGGAGATTTATCCATATCAGAAGCCCAGGGTTTTTACATTCCTTCAATTGCTTCTCATATCTTCATAAAACACCTTGACTTATTATATGTTCAAGTTCTCCAAATGAGGATTCGGACCTAGTAGAAAAGTGGTTATGATAACAGTCGGTTTTACAGCACAAATGACAGCGTACAGAATTTCATTACAGGTACCAACCACTCCCTTGAAGTTCTGTGAGCTGGGAATGGGAGAAAACAACTTGACCAAAATTGCCACACAATGTTTTCTAAGAGTCCTGGATACCAGTAGACAATAAAAAGATTAAGGATAATTAACAATTAGATTCATGCAAAATTCAATAATATATCTTTTGTTCCAATCATGTTCCAAAAACAGAGTAATATATTGATATATGATCCTCATTAGTCACTGTTTACTTTCCCAATTTCCCAGACATTAAACTTTGAACAAATGCAGCTTCAGATGACTTGCTCAGTAGAACTTTTTGAGATTTTTTCTTTTGAGTTTACAAGAACAAAAATTACGAAATTTTGGTTATGGAAAATATGCGTATATTTTTGCCATAGTACAACTTTAGGACAGTGAAATGATTTAATGTGAACATTCCAATACATCACCTTTTGGCTGAGACTAAGTGGAAAAAGTCTAATTTCAAAAGATTTTTAAAGAGACATGTACAATGGAAGTAAGTCCTCAGTTTCAATATACAGCCTGCCTTTTGATAATTATCATTTTAACCAATTTAAAAGGACATCCTTCAGATTTTGAAAAGGCATTTAGTGTTTTCAGTTACCAATATTTACCATCGTTCTCTTTACGTCTGACACACACATAGAGATGTTTCATGTTTCATAAGGCTTTGTCTTTTTTTTTTTTTTTAACAGGTATCTTACAGACTTTTTGAAGACATGGGCCTCTTTGAAGCTTTTAAAATTCCAATTAGGGAATTTATGAATTATTTTCATGCTTTGGAGATTGGATACAGGGATATTCCTTGTAAGTATGCTTGATTTGTGAAATAATACTTTTAAAATATGTCCAATTTGCTGTGGGTAAGTGGGATAGTGAATCATTAGCAGGTAGCACAGAATTACACATGGTAGACACTCAATATGGAGACATCATATGGTGATTAGGAGATATCACCTGTGTTAGAATCCTGGCTCCTTTACTTTTCAGCTGTATGAGACCCTAGAGTTTACTTAAGCTCTATGTGCCTCATTTCTTAGTCCATAAAATGAGGATTATAATACCTGCTTCATATGATTGTTGGGATCAAATAAGATTATAATTTAAGAGGTTATTTGAGTGCCCGGCACACAGTAATTCCAACATAAGTCCACTTTAATATGGCTATTTTTTGGAAATAAATAAACACTAAATTTATTGCTCATTTAGTAACCCATCCCTTTTATTGGGTGAATTCAACTTTTGTTGTGGCATCTGAAGAGTTAAGTCACTATATATGTTTTCTCCACATAAGATAAAGTTGGCTGGTGTTTAGAGGGACAGGAGGATGGTGGTCTGATGAATAAAATAGAAGAGACATCTGGAAGTGGTTATGGAAAAATGATGAGAAACATTTTAAAAAATCAGGTAAATGGGAAGACCCAAGGGAAACACACAATCAAGAATTCAAGCTTTGAGTCTTGAGGGAATAAGTTTCCCATTTATAATAACAAGAAATTGGAACACAGAGGAGATGTTAAATTTTCATTATGTAGCATTTCAGGAATCATCAATCAGAACACGTGAGTAAAATGGTCCTACAGTGCTACAAAATATATGGTTTGGGAGACAATGTCTATAGGTCCAAACAGGGAAACTGCAGAGATGTTCAAAAACCATGTAACATATTAAGGAAATAAATATATAGAAAGAAAAATAATCAAACATAATATGTTGATTGGAGCATGTCTTGGAAATATGTTATTTAAATCATATTTTAGCTTTTAAGCTTTTAAAACTTTTAAAGTTTAAAACTTTTAAGCTTAAAAGTTTTAAAAGCTTTTATATTTGCTTTTATGCACCTCAGACTTCAGAGTCCCGTAACTTTGTCATAATTGTAAAGAGCTGAAGTTACATTAAAAAATAATTAATACTGATAAAGCACAAGTATTTCCAGGAAGAGGTATCACATTAACCTAGGGATTTACTATGAGCATATTGTTTTCAAAATCCCATCCACATGCTATATTGGAATGAATATGCACCGCAGATAGTGTATCATAGAAAAAAAGAATGAAGAACTGAATCTACCAATGAGATTTTCTGAAGAATATGGGACCAAAATACAGTCAGAGTAAGGCAGTTGGAGTAAGGGAAAGAGGAACTGAACAGTACCAGGGCCCCTGGGAACATCTGGCTGACAAATCCATGAAAGTTGGAAGAGAAATATGAAAAAAGGGGTAGTTGGAAAGGATCTCAAGATAAGCCTTGCTTTCGTAATACAATTTTCCCAGGGCCCACCCTGGTTGGATGCCAGTGATTGACCTAAGTGTTCACAATTTCTCAAAGATTAAGGAGTTACATAAATAAACTTTTCTAGAAAGGAAGCCACTAAAAACACTAAACAGCTAATCACTAGACTGAATTTCCAAATTCATGTTATATTTCAGATGTATTTTAATGATACAATTAGCCATAGCAAAGTTCCACTGAGTTCAAATTAATACTAAACTCCATAGACATAAAAACTACCAACTTTTTCACAGGTAGTGTATCATTAAATCATAGTTGAAAGACGGCAAGTGTTTAAGTACAAAAATAAGTTTTCAGATTCTAAGATTTATTATTCACTTTTACATTTTCTTATTACATTTTTATATGTTACAAGTAAATAGATATTTTTTTTCCCTGAAAGAGTGGGTTCTTTATTCCAGGTGAAAAGAACTTGTTATAATAAACCTGCTTGTTCTATTAGAAGTCCCGGATACTCTCCATAAAGGGAATTTATTTACATCTTTTCATAGGAAAGCTCTAGCTTCATTTGTGATCACTTTTAACTAATAATGTTTCATATGTGCTGAGATTGTAAATTAATATGAATATTTATTAAAAGCTTCACTTATTAGTTATAATTAGCACGTACAAAAATTTGCTATGTACCTACTTATTTTAATATTTACTTTGGACTATATTTCTAATGGTTCTATCTAAATAAATCCTTAGTTGAAAAGAAGCATAAGAGGAACCGAAGTTAAAATAGGGTTGGATTAACTTTAATATGATAATGTGTGCTAATATTAGAAACTAAATTTCTTATTATAGTTCTAAGTGTACCTTTAACAGTTTTCAAGAGAAGAGGGTAAGTAGGAAAGCTTTTAAATTTGTAATTAGAATCCTGACAAAAATTGAAGGATCTAGATTTAAACAGAGAGTTAAATAAGGAAATTTCTTGTTAGTAGCAATAGAAAGACAGGAAATATGGTCAACTCAATAATATAAATGTGATAAAAATGTATTTGTTCAATCAAACTTAGGATAAATTAATGTATGGTCAATACCCAATTGCATAAGGATATAAATAATGTTTGGTGTCATTCATAGTCCCTTTCAGTTGGGCATTTTGCTTATTAAACAAAAATCCATTCGTATTCATTCATCAATCCAGTTATTTTTGATGGTAGTTTTTATTATTTTCAAAGAGTTTCCTCTCTAAAGTATATTCTCCCTAACATCTCTCATTCTGATTTAAGTTTGGGAAATGGGGAGAATGCCTCAGAAGTACCTGTGATCATGTAGCTATTTCATGGCAGCAATGAGAATAGTCCTGCTCAACCTATATTTAGTTCAGTTCAATCAAGCTATACATGATGTGCCCACTGATTTTAAAGATAGATATTGAAGTGACATGGTACATGCTAGAGGGGCAGAACTACCAGAGTATTAGCTATATTCCAAGAGAAAACAAAATATTCGAAGTGTTACCTCTATTCTTTACTACTTCCGCTTCCCCTATGGTGCGTAGGAGCATAGACAAAATTTTAAATAAAAAAATATATAAATTTGGATCTTAAAATCTGTGAATTTACATACAACTCCAACCCTCCACACCAGCTCACTTCAACTCTGTGCTTGAGGGAAAAGGAGAAAGTTGAGAAAACAAGTGTTTCAAGACGGAAGAGGGAGATGGGCGGACTCTGGGAAAGAGGTAGGGTGTACCATGTGCTAGTGTATGCATGTACGTCTATATGTTATTAAAGAGGGCGAGGGGGTTGCCACGTAAGTGAAGGCGTCATTGAGAAGGCTTGTCCAAAATGCAGAGATGAAGGAAGAAGTATGATGATATTAAGGATAAAATAAGGATAGCTCTGATAGCATTTCTTATCCTTCTCAGTTGCCTACCCTGGCCAGAACAAGAAGAGTAATCTTTGAGCATTTTTATGTATCACATAGAAACCTGTCAGTAACTTACATTGACCTTGCTAGCTTCTTTCCTGGGTGTCTTTGCTCCTGGGTTGGGTTACCAGAGAATTAATGACAAGAACAGTGGAGATGCCAGCACTTGGCATAATACCGAGTACATGCTAAGTGAATATTTGATTAATAAACATGTTATTGACTGCTAACAGGACAGATGGTTTTCTATTCTTCAATCTAAGTGATTGATGATGGTGTTATTCTCCTACACATACACACATACAACTTGATGTATATATTTAAATAAGCAGGTAGATTTGGTTAGCGATTTTTTAAAATTTAGTACTTTTAAACCTGTACTCGAAAGCAAAAGGAACCTTTTCAAATATATATACTGTCTTTACCTAGTTTTTAAATCGAGATTGTACCAGTCTCATAAAATGAGTATGGCAGCTTTTCTGCTTATATTTTCAGCACTAGATTATTTACTTAGAATTGATTGCTTGTTGAAAGTTTGTTTTTTTAAAAAAAAGCGCTACCTATAAAGTTTTCTGGGCCTGGGCCTTGGGGTGGGGGACAGGGCGGGGAGGATTAGAGCTCAAAAGCTGCGAGTTCACCTGGAATAGATATTATCGATTCCTTACCCCAAACAGGCTCTGCCAACACTATGATACTGCCCCCCATCCACCTCTGTACTGCTATGCTCATGCACAGGTTTCTCTGACTTGCAATAATAATATTAACTACTGGCATATAGTAATCTTCCCAGCTTGCAACAGGAGAAGATAATTTAACTAAGAAGCTGGCTTCCAACATATATCCCAAAAGTGGAACCCTACTCCCAGACTGCCATTTTCCTACCATACCAGGTCATTACTATCTTCTACCGATAGAAGTAGAAGATACTTTATTTTATTCTTACAAATCCAGCATTGACTCTGGGAGAAAGCTGGTAATCTATACTCGTTTTATCTTGTTCTGCAGCAGCAATTTATTTTACACGAATGATGTTTACACAAATTACAAACTCACCGTGTATCAGGCCCTTTAAAATCTATTTCCTTCTGTAATTGTCACAATTGTACTATGAATTTGGCAATATTATTCCTGTATTTTTAAGGTAAAGAAATGAGACTTTTTACTATATCTTATTTTTAAGATAAGGAAGTGGATTTTAAGTAACTCACCCAAGTTAGCATGAATAATAAATATTATAGCAGAGGTAAAACCATACCTGTCCTAAATCCAGAAAATTCTAGTATGATCAATTTCATAAATAGCCCAAGTACAGACATAAAGTATGATTGTAATTGTGTTGCCTGTGAATTATTTGTAAATGTAATGGGCTTATATCACTTGAGATGGTCTATACTCAGGGATATAGACGCCAATCTTAATAAAATTGCTCTTTCAATTATCAGATAATATTGGTATTCATATTTATGATTGACACAGGTATACAAGTTTTGCTATTTTCTCCTGAGTTTCTTTCTTCTTCTTCTTCTTCTTCTCC